GACGTGGGCGATCATGGGTCTCCACCTCCTTCTATCCCTTGCAACTTTCAGTTATATAATCTTGTTGATTTATGAAACTTTTTTTTTGTCTTATAATATTCTCTCACTAGAATAACACTAATCCAACAATATCTGGCGACGATTCGATCCTCGCCCAAAACAAACACAACCTGGGGCAGAGAGAGGCTTGGATCGAAGTGACCAACTTCACGGTGAGCTGCAAGATTCAATGACGGACACACCGGTGACAGGATATTGTTGTCATGTAGCGCAGCGTTATATATAAAATACATTTTTAAAGAGAAAATATTCTGAAAATATATTTATAGCAATATTACCAACTGTTAACACATGTTTAAAAAAACTACATTACATCACCATTTTTCTACAGATCCATTATTCATGAATCTATCTCTTCCAAATACATAATATATATATATAAAAGTGAACATTGAAGTCCACACTCAGAGGCGACAGGCTGTTTCATGCTGCACGTAATCGTGTATATATATATATATATAAAAATATATACACATACATACATACACAAAATACGCATGAGATATACCTTAATGAAAAACCTTTTCAAAACATCCTGCAGCGTCTCACTAACCTTTACACACTTTAGCATCCAGAAAGTTTTCTTATACTTATTTAGATATTATCTGTTACTTAATTACATGTGACACGTATCTAACTAATAAGAAATAGGGAAAATAATCTAACATGTTTCACTTTATTGAAGTTTCGTCAGAGATCAAGATAGAAACAATAAAAAAAATGATAAAAGCAAAGAGACGCAGATTAATGGTATGTTGTGTTTCATTAATCTGCGTCTCTTTACTTTTTATAATTTTTTTTATCATGTCTATCTTGATATCTGACGAAGCATTAATAAAGTGAAACATGTTAAGATCTTGTTTTTTATCATATCGTTTTGTCGGATCCTATCTATACTTGATCTAGATAGATAAATACTAAAATAAATAGATAGATACTAAGGTTTTCCGATTATTCACATTTCATGAAATCTGCTTTAAAAAAAAAAAAGAAAAAAAAAAAAGATACATAAATGCTTTTATGTTCCGACTCGTATATCAATATAGTTTCGGCGATAGTTTCTCGATCTGCCCTCAACTTTGATACGGGTCTCTCTTCTCTTCTCCACTACATGTCGATTTAAAGGTTTCCCAACCTTGGGGCGACAAACCCTCGAAAGAAAATAAGATTGGGGGGTGGGGATCATCACATTTTTAAATTACCAAAAACCGGGGAATTATACAATTTAAAATAAAAATGTTGATTAATTATTTACTTTTATAATGAATTGTTTTTTTTGTTTTTTATTTAAATAAAATCTAAGAAAATATTCTCGTAAGAACCACTGATATTTAATGACTAAATTTTACTAAAAAAATGTTTTAAATGTTTTGCGGGTCGTTTGACGGGAAAATTAAAGGGGTTTTAGGGTTGATAGTAGGTTAGGGACAGAATTTTTCTAAACGTTGGACGAAGCAGACAATCCACAATTTACATTGATACATAGCTTTTTTTAGCGTCTAGCGTCTCTTTCACCTGGTCTTTCACATGCATTTCATTTACACAAAAAAAAAAAAAAAAATTATAAAAGAAGTTTCCTTTACGATTAATAGCTAAATAAATACATGATTTAAAGAACTGCTCAGAAGGAAAATTACAATTTAAAAAAAAAGCGCTACTGAAATTAGCACTTCCGAAACCCCACCCCCACCAAACCTAGGTTCGGAGTACTAAGCACAGGCCCTATCGATTATTATAATTGATGAATGGTTGAAAATATAACTTAGAAAAAAAAAAAAGTAAAAAAGCAAAATAATGCTGCTGAAACTAGCCCCGTTTTGGGGCCTTCAAACTCGTCGGGGGTTCCTGCGTGGTACGCACCACACCGTGTAGTTGTAAAGAAAAGAAAAAGAAAAAAAACTGTCAGCCTGTAGTAGCAATAAACGTCTGCAATAGATTTCTTCTGTCTCTCGACCACAACACTTGTAACCAAATCACAGTTCAAACGATAGCCCGTCGTAATAGTCCAAGCAGCGTAGAAACGAAAAAATGGGTCACATATCCAACCTTCACTTCTCACCAGCAAAAACGCGTATTCGTCCACCAAGCTCAGAAAAATGCCGCATAAGCGAAAAACAACGGCTTTTGTTCATCAAAAGATCTTTCTGATTGGTCACGCCATTCATGGGTGGGAAGAACATTAGCATAGATTCTGGTCCTTAAAGTAGATTTTTGCTAACTACTTTTTGGTAATTTTTCTTCGGCAGATCGCACACAAAAAACACGAACTCTTTTTCGAGGTAGCTGACCATGCAATGTATTAGTTGATGACTGATGTAACGTCAGTTTAAAAATAATTTTAAAAATAGCCAATGGCCACAAAAACAAAAAATAAAAAAACGCCCCCCGAGTCGGGAGTAAGACGCGACGATCCTGTCAATATGAAAAAGAAGTACGTACTGTTCGATAGATTTGTATAATTTTACAAGTTAAATAAATTTACAATCCAATATAATTTTTGCAAAATAAAAATTCATGTAATTTTTTATATGTCGAACAAAGTATGGAATATTTAAATTGAAAACCTGTTTTTGGGTTTTTTTTTTTCCACTATGTATGTATTCAAACTTTCTAAAGAAGAAAGGAAGGTGACATTTTACATTTAGTTGCAGCAACAATGACTATTGCTTTACCGGTCTTACCCAAATCCTTTCACGGGGAAGAATAAAAAAAAACACAAAATATATTAAATAGGCAAATAAATAAATAAAACGTTGTATATATGCTATGTGATATAAAATTTCATTTCACCCACAAAGGAATATATTGTATTTGAAATCTAGATTGTAAAAAAAGCTCATAAGTCGCACACTTTCTGCAGGTGAATTTTCACACGTCTTTCTAATGCATATGCGTGTCTGTTGTGCTTGAGTGATTTCTGCTTGTGTCATTTAATGAACACATAAAGTACACATATACGTACAATTTTTAGTTTAGTTTGGAGCAAGATATGGAAATAATGCATTTCTCTTCTTCTCAATCTGAATAATCACGACCCTTAGCAACAAAATCATTAATATATATAAGACTGGAAAACACCTGTCCTGGCTAAGCAATGAAAACACTGGAGCCAAAAAGATAAATAAAAAATAATTTCTAACTCCACAAAATAGATAGATGACCCAGTGGGAAAAAAAAGCGTTGGCTGAAATAATCCAGTGACTTGACACAAACGAATTATAAGTTCAATTCCTGTCCGCAGCAGAGGCGAACAAAAACTTGGAGAATTGAGTTACTAAAGGGTGATACCCGAAAGAGGCATGACACATGGAACTAGAACAATCTGCCCCAGTGGACGAAATAAAGTTTAGGTTCGGTTCGAAATTCCAATCACCTGACGAAGGCCGCCGGAGTATACAACGACAGAAACGTCATGAATATGACAACAAACATGAGGACAACAGTTCGAACAATCTCGATATGCCTCAGTCTCAATCTACGCCGGTGGACGAAATAAAGGGTTCAGCAATGTAAGGAGGCTTATTTACTCAGTTCTAACTGCCCTACAGAGGTTTTTGTTCCCAAGTCCAATTCAACCCGGAGCAGTAGCACCTGTTATAGGCAACAAATCAAATGCTGAACTCCCAAAATAAATTTCAACAAAACTCTAGGAAAGTATAAAAACACATTTTCGTAGGAAAATATGACCAACCACAACATTTTGTAAAAAAAATGTAAGACATTGCGCATTCTTAAAATAAAACAACAATGTGCTACGGTTAAATCTCGTAAGGAGTTTAAAAATTTCCAGAAGATTTGTGTAATTGTAATGAATCCAAACTTTTTTTACTGTCGATAACTACCATCTCGGAGTTATCGACAGTAAAAGATCGGATTCATTTTTCCAATTACACATATGTAAAATTTGTAAATATTCTGGAAAATTTTAATGCGAACTGAGCGCGGGTGCTAAACTGCAAATTAATTAACCAATCTTGCAAAATCAAACGCTGAGTGAAAACTTGTTTCTTCTTACGAGATTTAATTTATAAGTATTATTATTATTATTATTCTGGAAATTTTTAATGCGAATTGAACGCGGGTGATAAACTGCAAATTAACCAGATTATTTGGTTAAAAAAAATACAGTTAAATAAATCATGAAATAATGTCATTCTCTGGAATTAATTAATTATAAAGTTTGAATTTTCATATTTAGATTTCGGTATTAAAAAAACCCGCAGAGGTGTTGATATACAGCTATATAAAAATCAACCAAACCAATAGTGCACAGCAGAATGACCAACAATGCATTTTAGTAGAATGACCAACAACATATTTTAAAATGACCAACAATACATTTTTATCAATATGACCAACAATGTATTTTTATAGTACTGTAGTGTAAAATGACCAACAATACATTTTCTTATTTAGATTTCGGCATTAAATAACCCATAGATGTGTCGATATGCCGCTATACATGGAGAATTACGGTAATAATAATTTTTAATAAAAAAATAATGACATTCTCTAAAGTTTGTATTTTCATATTTAGGTTTAAGACATTAAATAACTCAGAGACGTTGATATACCACTGTAACCCCCCCCCCCCAAAAAAAAATCCCCAAAACACGAGAACCACAGTAAATAAAACTTCACTCATTCCATCCCCACCAAGAAAAAGGCTAAGTATATCTTCTGGTTCTTATATGCAAAATCGAGGTATCTGAGAGGCGAATATTAACACAGAAAGCCATACCTAATTTAATTCCATAAACACGGTACATTACAAAAGAGAACAAGGAAAAAATGAAATGTTTTGGAAAAGACAAGCACATCCTGACATTTTAAAAACTAAAAACTAAAAAGTCTTCTTAAAAGTTGTAAAAAGTAGAGGTGGGAAATATTTCCTGGGCTACATGGATTCGCTAAAAAATATTTATTTTAAAACTACTTACCCATTAGTTCGTGTTTTGATTACTTTGGTAGTAAAGCTTAAACAGTTTTTGGCCTCATTTCAATCTTTCTTCTTAATGCATATGACTTGGATTGTCAAACTTTGATAAAATACTTCCGTGTTTGGGCATTAAAAAATAAATAAATAAAACGAATTTCATTGGCTATACATCTGTGAAACGAGATTGCCACCTCGCTTTGGGACAATGGTGAACGAGCTTGTGACCTTGTCTAATCAAACCTGGTTTCGTCCACATTTTTGCCATGCAAAATTTGTCTCCACTCGTTTATTAATTTTTGAGAAAATATTCCAACACCCCAGTTTTTGTTTTTGTTGTTTTTTGTTTTCCTAAATCCACGTTTATTTATTTAATGATCATATAGAAATGCGAACATGATATTGTCGGATTTTTTATGCTGTCGGATTGGAGGAGCGGAAACTCGGACCACTAGGCAATTCAAACGTGTTGTACCCGAAACTCGACGTGAAAGGAGAAAAAAAAAAAATAAGGATGGAAATCTTATAGCAGCACTTCACAGCGTCTCCAAGTAACAACAGTTCGAGATTGCAACGAATTGTCCCGTTCCTTTCAAGCAATGTCTGTCCTTGTAATCTTTTAACTAGGACCTATTGCACAAAGTACAAATGTGACACAAGGGCAAAAATTGGCGATGGGGAAAGGCTGGTCTTCATCTGTCTTAAACTAAAACTTAGCTAGCTACAATCACTAGCCCAACCATTCTATACATAGCTCTTTCACTAAAACAACACATTCTTACTTACCATTCTTACTTCATCCACCCTAATTCGTCAGAGACTCTATGAAAAGACCTAATTTAGCATTTTGCTGCCATTTGATTGTATTATATTATTATTATTTTCGATTCAGCGAACATTATTGGTCGAAAAAGATTTCAATGCATTTTCTATGTAATAGCTTTTTCGACGGAAAATTTTGTGCAAAAAGTGGATCACAGAAGCTTCTATTTAAGTCTGATTGCTGATTGGTTGTTAAATGTAAAAATGTATACAACGCCTACGCAATCTCGTTTACCGCCAAGATTTTTTTAACAAGGTTTGGAGCCGGTCGCTTGATCTAAAACAAAATAAATACAACAACGCGAGCGGATCGCATCAGTGAGACAATAAGAATTTCACTATAACGTACGTTGTTGCTGAATGCCTTTCTAAATCATCATATTCCAGTTTGATATTTCTTTCCAGCAGTGAAATTTTTCATCAGTAATAATTTATCTTGCAATTTTAGCTTGAGAGCTCACAGACCTCAAAACTCACTCTCAGTACATTTTTATTCAACAGATTACTCGGCAAAGAATTCTCGATAATTTATATCAAATCAACTCAGAAGTCACTTTACACTACTGAGAAGTGTGAAGTTTAAAAGTTTCACTTTAAAAACGAATCACAACTCTGATCTTCAACTTATATTCAAATTTTCTCTCACTCAATAACTTTTCAAGAATTATCTACTACGAACTTTTGTGGAAGAACAACACTTACTTCTTTGAAAACTTACCTTTCAACTGGAATCTACTTTCGTAATTTTAAACTATTATCGTTATTTTACCTTTTAAACGCTGACAAAAGAAACAATTTAACAGACAAAGGTAGACAATTTCTACCGTATTCTTAATATTAAAATTCTTAGCTAAAAAGATTTGTTTAAAAACAGTTTGTTTGTCTCCGAACTGATTTATTCATTACAAATCCTATATTTTTTGCATACACTTTGAACACACTAAACAAAGATACTTTTTGCTTGCCATAAAAAACATTTTGGTGTATAAAACATCAACTTTAAATTCTGCAACTCAGTATAAATTCCCTGGGTCATTTCATCATACAATTTTATTATTGTAATACAAATGCGTTTTAACTTATTTTAAAAAAATATTGTTGTCTTATATTTGTGGTATCTGTCTATATTTCTGGGATGAGGTATTATGTACACTATTTTTTGTCGCCATATTTATTACAACGTTTCGGCCGTTGTACGCTCCGGCCTTCTTCAGGTGGTTGGAATGCCGAACTGAACCCTTTATTTCGCTCACTGGGGTAGACTGTTCTAGTTCCACGTGCCATGTTTAATGGATGTCATTTATCAGTTATCTCCTGTTAATTCCTCTCTGAAAGTTCTCCACTGCCTTAACCGGGTGCTGAACTCACACACTTTGGGTCATGTCACTGGATCTAACCAACGCCTTTATTCACTGCCATGTCCTTGAGCGTACAACGACCGAAAAAATGAGGGACATTCCAAATAATGTAAATAAATATATCTCAGAAATATAGACAAAAATGAAACGGACAAAAGATGAGTCCAAATAATGTAAATAGTGTACATAATACCTCATCTCAGAAATATAGACAGATACTGAAGGGCTGAAACGTTGTAATGAATATGGCGACAAAGATGAGGACAATAGTCCGAATAATGTAAATAGTGTACATAATACCTCATCTCAGAAATATAGACATCTCAAGGGTCCGAAAATATAGACAAAGATGATAGTCCGAATAATGTAAATAGTGCCATAAACGTTGTAATGAATATGGCGACAAAGATGAGGACAATAGTCCGAATAATGTAAATAGTGTACATAATACCTCATCTCAGAAATATAGACAGATACTGAAGGGGCCGAAACGTTGTAATGAATATGGCGACAAAGATGAGGACAATAGTCCAATAAAATATAGACAGATAAAAGGGCCGTTGTAATGATATGGCGACCTGAGGACAATCTCCGAATAATGTAAATAGTGTACAAATATAGACAGATACTGAAGGGCCGAAACGTTGTAATGAATATGGCGACAAAGATGAGGACAATAGTCCGAATAATGTAAATAGTGTACATAATACCTCATCTCAGAAATATAGACAGATACTGAAGGGCCGAAACGTTGTAATGAATATGGCGACAAAGATGAGGACAATAGTCCGAATAATGTAGTGTATATTTGCGGTGTTTGACAGACTTGTGCCATATAAGTAAACTCTGGAGATGTTTCCGTTCACCCAACAAAAAAATAATAACTTTTGATCTACATTTTATTTAAGCAAACTAATCACTCCGCAACACTAAATATGTACAATTTCTTTGTGGGAGTGGGGAGGGAATAAAATAACAACTTTTAAAATTTATAACGCCAATGAATATTTACAATTGAAAAAACAAAACACCCACCCCCAAAAAATAACAAGATTTATATAACAAGAAACAAGACAAAACAGTGTTAGTAATAAAACTTCTCACAATCACTAAATGTGGCAGAAACATCAGTTAACTGGGCAAAATTAATGTGGGACTTAAATAGTCAAAAGTCAAAACATTCATTCGTCCTACCTCTAACGCAAACGCACATTTATTCAAACAACAACAACTACGAAAATCACACCGGAAACATGAAAGGCGTCCCGCATCCACAAGAGAACTGACATCTCTGGTCGCCTAACGGGAGAAAGGAGGGGGAATTAAAGTAAACTAAAGAAAGTGGGAGGCAAAAAGGGGCTAATGAGCATCATACATTCCCTAGATAAGTTAACTTGACAGAGTGTAGCGGACCGTTTGTTTACGTGTTGTTAAATTAGGAACACGAGCATAACTCCTGATAGAATTAAAAGGTCCACTACAAGAACATGGCGGACTCAAGTTGAATCCAACCGAAAATGTAAAGAAAACAAACAAGATCGATATATATATATATATTAAATAATTCATCGAGTCTGAAAGAAACCTCAACAGAATGCAGAAAGCACTGGACGACCGTTTCGTCCTATTTGGGACTCATCAGCAGTGCGCATCCACTACCAAGAATTGAAACCCTGACAGGTTGTCAAGCAAACATCATACTAACTGTTCCAACGGGCACAGTCCTATGATTAGAGAGAACTCAGTAGAGTTCCACCACGGAATATGTGAGCAAGCGGCGCTATATTGAGTTTGATTTGCAATCTCTTCGTCACCGAGGCCCAAATATAGGATGAAACGGCCGTCCAGTGCTTTCTGTTGAGGTTTCTTTCAGACTCGATGAATTACTTAAAAATATAATTATCAAATCCTCCTAATAATTTCTTTTATATATATATATATATATATATATATATATATATATATATATATATATATATATATATATATATATATATATATATATATATCAACAAATATATGTATTAAACAACAAAATTTACAATGGACATAGACATGCGTGTGAACGTAAAGAGTTTGTACGTACGTGTATGTGTGTTTCATGGAGTTTTCCCACACGTGGGCAAAAACGCAAATCTCTGCGAGAGATCACATAAAAGTGTCCGCTGAAATGCAAAGTAAAAAGAGAGAGTAAGGCAATAAGTTACGTAGTGATTTAGAGAATTAAGGAGGAGTTAACTCCGATATGAGAAAAACTAAAAAACAAAACAAGTTTAAATTACCCTATTTTGTGCGGGTTTGTCAATGTTCAATCCAGCAATTCTCAACATCCTTAATAACTAACGGCATCAAAATGCCACTCTAAGTCAGCTCTTCTTACTCAGTACAAACGCGCAAGATTCACCCACCGTTTTCTAAATTCTGATGGATGAAGTCGTTTCCTTTCTAGGAAAGTTCCGGGAAAAGAAACTCCTTTCCACGAACCCAAACGCAAACCAACAGACGACGTATCGTGGTTGATCTTGGCCTCTTTCACACACCAACTCGTACCCTCTGATTTCTTTGCTGAGTTCGTTAATTTCGACTCTGTTCGACACAAGAACCGAAATGTTGTCAACATAGGCGGAGTACATTGCCGAGGAACAGGACCTAACGGACCATCTGGAGAGTGAATGTGGTTTCCTTTATAGCTTTGCAGACGGTCTCATTTAAATGTGATCTCATCCATCCAATCAGATAGGATCTACTACAACAACAAACATTATTAAAAACTGGTCGACAAAGAAAAACAGATTCCCTGTTTCTTACCTTGTGCCCTTTTTCTCATC